AGCAGTGAGTGTTTTGGACAATGTGTCAATGGCTGCTTCGAAGTTTCAGTGATGCCACTAGTAGCGGCTGTTTCAGCTCTGGAAAAGTTTGGTGGAATTAGGAGGTTTTCAGGATGCTTGGAGTTAGCCAAGAGGTAAAATGTAGTATGTTAAAAAGCATGATGAATGCTACCATGGCAACACCTGATCATTTTTATTGCTTCCGCCACGGGCCACTTGCAGTGTTGACGTCGGTGAGGATAAAGACGGGTGAACCTATCGCTATTCCAATCCGAATTGTGAATTCTGATTTCGGTTGTGTGTCTAAGAGGAAATGGTTTTTATACGTAGTGGCATGATCTTCCATTTGGAAGGGAAAGTTTGTTTGAAGGATTTCATGTTGTGGTTTCTTCGAAACCCAGTTTTTCTTCGTATTTTTTATGTTGGACGGCTACGCAGATCATACTCACTTTATATTTTGACTCGTCTCTTTTTCAGTCTCATGGCTCTTTCGTCCTGTAAACAAAGCCCTTTCTCCCTTCATCTAGGATCACTGATGTGGTCTAGCACAATCATTTTAGGGCTGACACTGTAATGTGAAATTCTCAGTATTTATGAGGATAGTTCTGTTTCCTAATGTTTTTTCAAGGGTAAAGCAGACAGACCGACGCAAGAACGTGTTAGGGGGGATTAAGGTAAAAGTGCGCACGAGGTTTTATCTGCTTGTAGACCTGCATACCTGCGTCTGTACGTAACTAGAAGCACCGGAGATGTTTTTGGGAGCCGCAACATGATTCCAAAGGTCATTTATTCTTCACCGTCTGGCTCCTTCATGTTTTGGCCATTTACTCTCTTCACGACTCTCCACCCGACTACTTTACTTAATGCTCGAACTGCCTTGTCCGTTCTTTCGTCGACCTCTTCTCTCTCTTACTCGGTGCCTCAGCTCTCGGCTCTTCCTTTTCTCACTAAATGCGACTGTCTGATTAGCAGAAATTCGCTAGCACTCTCCTCTTCATTGTCCCTCGTACTCCAATTGCTATTTTGTCAACTCTCACCTTCTTTGGGAAAAGCAGATGGCGTGTTGGAAACTCTTTAATCAACTACTCATTCTTTGCAGTGGTGTGTTCTGCTCATTGCCAAACGCTGGTTCTCGTTTGAAGCAATGCATTAGGCTGTGTTTAATGCTCCAAAAAGGAATATATTCCTTTGCTCTACGATTATTTTATTATCAATTCCTCACAATTAATTTTCTCTGTAACTCCTTTTTATTTTCACGGCAAGGTCTCTTATTGTCCTTTCTCATCTCCATTTTCCTCCCAAATACGCTTCTAATCGACTATCCAGGAATAATGCTAATCCTTAATTTGAGGCTTCGGCTTTATTATTGTTGTTACAACCTTGCTTGCACATCTTCATGTTTCTGTTTCCTTTCAACTAATTTTAACTTCGTTCTGCTCGGGGCTATTTGCTATTAACTATGCCTTTACTTTTAAACCTATTCTGGACTGTGTTTAATTTCCTTTTTCCTATATATCGTGTGAAATAGACTATCGACCTCCGATGCTGGTTAGGCTTGAATGCGGGTGTTACGAACCACTCGATGCACTTAATCTTTTCACAATAAACGTCTCTATCGACACAAGCTAGCATAATTCCAAGTAAAGCTCATTATTTGCTACGGTATTTAGTCATAGTGGTCGAAGTTAAATCTGCATACAATGTCTAGGCTCGTGGGTTGTTTTTCAACCCTTCCCTACCCACTACACTTCATAGTGTATGTTTCTTTTTCTTATCTAACAGTAGCTTGCGTGATGCTTTCTGTAAACCGATGTCAGCATTATATGCGAAATTAATTTTCTCAAACTATCTTTTATTAAACATTAGTCTTTGTGTTTATCTGTTAATTCACTTGCGCACAAACGCGCATGCCCACATACAAAGACGTTGGCAGGTAAACACCATGAAAGCATTCTACCATTCAATGTTCCATTCCATCCGTGGGCTCATCTTTGAAGAAGCTAATTAGTATTCCATTCACGTGCACACTCGCCCTAAGATCTCACCATCCTCCCGCAACTTCAGTTTTTTCCTCTTTTCTCTGATACTAACTTTGACGTCAACTGGGCTTTACTTTGACGCCGCGATCCTTGATGGCTCACTCCCCCTATCGCTTGGCTCCATTGTCGTATTCGAGTTCCTCTTTTCATCTTTATATCTTGTATTCACGTCTAAACTCGTCTTAGAAACAGCTGGATACCTGCTGTGCGACGCACAGCTGCCTTCACTCTGTGCAGTTCGATCACTAGATTCAAGGTTAGAATCCCTCCTGTTAAAGCTTTTATATATTGGCGGAACGAATGTCCGACCTACCACATGCTGATTCGTCTTAGGAGCATTGGCGCATTCTGTGATGGCATGACCAAAAAGAGGCACTAAAGGCCTGCTGAACGCTCAAAACATCTTACCTTGTTTCAACAATAACGTTAGCCGAGTTTGCTGTCGGTGTCCGAGTGGGATGATGAGGTGACCTCGCCTGACATGAACTATCTCGACGTTCTTTAGGACCAAGAACTCACTTTTATGGCTGCCTGAGGTAGGAGGCAAAAATAACGCAAGATATAGTATGTATGCCCATCGTCGGTTGAATATAGGAATCGGCTCGCTATCGATAGGATTCTCGTTTAGTTAAGCCTTCCTTTATCAACAT